TCCTCCAGATCTCCTGCTGTCTTCACGCGCCCTCTACTGGCTACAGAAAATCCTCTCAGGATAGATTTTCCAGCCGGGAGCCCACACTGAGCAAACAAATTCATTTTTTTTCTAAATTTCCAATCCATTTAGGTAATTAGGAATAGCTTTCCACCTCCACAAGCTTCTCCTCAGATGAAGTCTAGGTTCCAGGTGACTGCACTCCTACGAGCTTGGGGGAAGGCATGTGTCTACTTTCTTCCTGCTGTTGGACAGGCCCCCTAGGGCACACCCGCCTCTCTGCCCCTCCCGCGCACTGTTTGGAAGTGAGTCCCACATCTGTCTGGTGCCAGGCACTTGGTGATGCCCTGGGGATCGCTCTGAGGAGACCCGTCTGCAGCCATTTCTACTCTCATGTGCTCACGGTCCGAGTAAGGGTGAGGAGCTGTAAGTGGCATTCTGGAATATCTCCACTTTTGTGGCTCCCCCACCCCCCACCTCTGGCTGTGAAACTAGCTCATCTGTACTTAGATCCTCAGACTCCTCTGGGGCTTCTCCCAAGATTCTAGAGTTGACCCAGGGTCAGGGAAGGTGAGGGGCCCTCTCCAATGCCCTCCTTCAGGCACCAGCTCAAAGAACCTGTTGGGTCATGGGAGCTGTGTGGGGGACAATAAGCAGTAAGAAAGGAAAATAGCTCAGTAGATTTCATCCCAAATCTTTTGGTCTTCAGGCAAACATATACTCAGTTTTTTTGTGTCCTCATTTGAAAAACCAAGAATTTGGTGTCTTTGTTCCTGGTCCCATCAACTATCTCTTTGACCACTTCCCTTTGGGCAATAGTGCCTTCTGCCTCATCTCCCTGGGCTGGGGTAGGGCTCAGGTGCACAGCAAGAAATTCAACACAGAACAGGGAGGGAAAACTCAGCCACCCCGAGGATCCTCCTGCCATAGCCAGGAGACAGAAAAATGCATTTATTCTTATAGTTAACAGGACCTATGCTATTAGGGTGCCTCCCACCTTCTAGGGGTTCCTTTTCTTGTATCTTTTTAAAAAATCTTTTCCTTTTAAATTTTTTTAATGTTTATTTCTGAGAGAGAGAGAGAACGCAAGCAGGGGAGAACAGAGGGAGGGAGACACAGAATATGAAGTAGGCTCCAGGCTCTGAGCTGTCTGCACAGAGCTGAACATAGGGGCTCGAACTCCTGAACCATGAGATCATGACCTGAGCCAAAGTCGGACGCTTAACAGACTGAGCTACTCAGGTGCCCCTTTTTTCTCTCTCTCTTTCTCTCTCTCTCTTCCTTCCTTCCTTCCTTCCTTCCTTCCTTCCTTCCTTCCTTCCTTCCTTCCTTCCTTCCTTCCTTCTTTCCTTTTTCCTCCCTCCCTCTCTTCCTCTTCCTCTCCCCCCCTCTCTTTCTTTCTTTTCTTTCTTTCTAATAAGCTCTATGCCCAGCACAGGGCTCGAACTCACAACCCCGAGATCAAATGTTGCATGCTCTACTGGACTGAGCTGGCCATACACCCATCCTGTATCTTTTAAGAACAAATTCTTATTTGCTTTTCCCAGGAACATATGAAAATGACTTGCAGATAGACCTCAAACCCTTTTATCTTAATCTTTTAGCATCTCCTAGGAATTGGACAAGTTTTTACATAGCTACAGTACAAATGAATTCATGAAATTTAATATTCAGTATTTTAAAATATATCCAATATTCAAATTCCTTTAATCATCCCAATATCTTCTATAGCAGGTGCTCTAGTTCAGAATCATGAATGGCATTAGTTGTCTCTATTCTCCTTTATTCTGATATAGTTCCTTGGTCTTTCTTTCATGACATTGGCATTTTTAAAGGGCACAGGTACACGGCTTTATAAAGTGTCCCGCAATTTGAGTTAGTCAGTTTGTCAACCTCATAATTCAGCTTTTGCAATTTTGGCAAGGCTGCCCAGAAGTGGCGCGTGCTTCCCAGCAAGTCACCTCGGGAGGTACCTGGTAGCAGTTCGTCTCATTTGGGTAGCGTTACATTTAATGACTTGAAAGTGGTGTGTGACACGCCCGAAAAACAAACAACCCGGTGAAGAAATGGGCAGAAGATATGAACAGACACTTCTCCAAAGAGGACATCCAGATGGCCAACAGACACATGAAACGATGCTCAGCATCGCTCCTCATCAGGGAAATACAAATCAAAACCACACTGAGATACCACCTCAAGCCAGTCAGAGTGGCTAAAATGAGCCAATCAGAGAA